TGACTACCTTGGGCGCCCTGAGGAAAATACATTTTCATTCCTTCCTGACGATTGCTTAAGGGAAGCAGACGTTTGCATCTTAACTTCTTGCATCTTAACTTCTTCATCTCATTACCGTATGCAGGACAATGAGAGCCTTGGCTTGTTTGCAAGACCCCAGGTGCTTGGTTATCTGTCATAAAGCTATCTGTCATGAGGAATAGTTCTGTTTGTCCAACAGGCCGTGTCCTATTGTCCTCTGGCCCCAAGGAGAGCACGCCCAGTTTCGCTGACTCTGGGCTTAACCCAATTTTGCCCAGGGACGGTCCCTACACTAACTAAACTGTTTATAAAGACACGTATTTAAGTAACAGTATTAATACCCAGTTATAACACAAAGAGACAGAGTTCCTGTTCCTTAGGATCTTACAAGCTAAGGTAAATAACATAAATACAGAGGAAACAGATGAAATTAAATGAATATAAAACTAAACTAACTTAATATTAACTGTGTAGGCAATTTGATTTATTTAAATAAATCTTCCAAATATAGGATATTGATAATGAATATTGATAGCATTCAAATGTTGGAAATAAACATACAGTACTAATCAACAAAATAAAAGCATAAAATAGAAAGGCAAGCTGAAAACACATAGACAGTGATTTGAGCTGTTGGATTAAAAACAAAATAATCTTTTTCTGAACCTATACAAAAAAATACATATTCACTCATTCAACAAATAGTTGAGTTTGTAACCTGTGCTAGATATTGTGTTAAGTGCTGGGATATGAAGGTAGGATCAAGTTTTTGCAATTTACTGGAAAAGGGAGGAACTAAATAATTATAAAAATAAGTCTTTAAATTACAGTTGTGATAGAGTGCTCTAAAAATTATAGGACGTGATGAGGTAATGTAATAAGAACCTAACATTTTACTTTTCAATGAGCTTAGAAATATACATACAAAAAATGGCACTTTATCTGAGTGAGATTAAAAACACATCTCCTTCTACACAAAAACTTGCACATGCTCATATTAGCACTATCCATAATAACCAAAAAGTAAAAACAACCCAAATGTTCATCAACTGATAAATGGATTTAAAAAAGGTAGTATATCCATACAATGGGATATTATTCTGCAATATGAAGAAAGGAAGTACTGATACATGCTACAACTTGGATGAACCTTGAAAACATGCTAAGTGAAAGAAGCCAGTCACAATCATGTACATAGTACATGATTCCACTTACATGAAATGTCCAGAATAGGCAAATCCATACAGACAGAAGGTGGATTAGCGGTTGCCTCAGGTTGGGGGTTTAGGGGTAATGGGGACAGACTGCTAATTGGTAATGTTCTACAATTGATTGTGGTGACAGTTGAATAATTTTGTGAATGTACTAAAACCCAGTGAATTGTACACTTTAAATAGGTGAATTGCATGTGAATTATATCTCAGTGAAGCTTTTTTTTTTTTTAAAGATCCCCTGGGAAGAAGAAAAGGGCTTCCTAAGGGTTTAATACCCTGCATGGAGGAAACTTGAGATTTCTCTGTGGTCTTTGTTTATATCCAACTCAACTTTCTGCACTGGCGGTCAACTAACCCCAAAGCCTCAAGCCAGTTTTCAATGTCTTCTAGGATATGAAGTTTTCTAACGTGGTCATTTACCATTGACTTCATGTCTCTTTTTCCATACCATGTTAATTCTGAGATAGTATATTCAGAAATAATATACTCAGAGAGATATACATTCAGAAAAATATATTCAGAAATGGTTACAGCTTTATCCAACCTATTAAGCATGTTTTTAAAAACTGAACAAGTTTTACCTCAATAGAAAATCTAAATTTAGGAAAGAAGCTTGAGTTTTTACAAAGAAGTACTCCATCTAAAGGTTTTTGAGATAAATCTCTAAAGCTAGGGATGAAATTCCCAATATGGGGCCATACTTGATAGGAAATGTATACATTCTCTATCTCTCTCTCTTTCTCTCCCCCCCACAACTGTGTTCAAGAGTCTAATGAGACTTCGGCAGAAAGAAACAAAACTAGTCATGATCCACAAAAAGAAGATGTACAGGCC